CTTACTGTTTTTGCTTCTTTATCCAGGGCCATAAGTATTAGAGCTTCTACTCTTGCCACCTCTGTCGTGCGCGTCGCGTGGTTGATTGTGCCATGTTTGATCACCGCGTCTGCCCAAGAAGCCGACTGCTCTGTGCAACGAGGGCTGGCAGTTGACAGGACTGCAGTGACCGGCTAACAGCAGATGCACGCGCAGAGATTCCACTTGTGGTCAGTCCGCGTTGGGCGGCCGACGGCTGTGGTGGCCCTGGGTGGGGTATATGCTTGTTGTAGCTGTTTTGCTGTTTTCTGCGTGTTGCATGCATGAGTATAATAGTATTTGTATTTTACATTAACAATTTTCGCGTTAATCCGGTCTCAGTGGATCTATTGATTGCCATAGTCTTGAAGCAGCATGGCGGCGGCGCTAAGTATAATGGTAGAGATTAGACATCCCACCACCCCACGCGTTGCACACGCCGGCCGAATTAGTCATAGATGCTTAGCAGCGCTATTTATAACTGGATTATCATAAACACCAAGGGCCTAAATGAATCGTTCAGTACCCGCGTACGCGAGCTCTATTAATATAATATTTAAACATTATATAATACTTTTCTAAATATCTATTCTATTATCCTGATCAACTTCTTTTATACCACTTATAAAATATAATAATATAGAATAGAGTTTATGAAAATAAAGACAATGCTATTTATTACTTCTCTCTCAGGCTAAAAGCTGTTTTATATTAAGACCGGAAATTACGTTAACATGCAGTAATACAGTGACAATACTAATAACAGAATACAGCCATATTAAATATAAGAATAGCAAGCAGGATCTTGGCCAGGATAAATCAAATCTAGCAGTTATCAAGGATATTATAAGTTTTAAATTCCCCCTGTATTTGTAAAACACTGATAGATCTTATCTAACTAGATAAACAAGCTCTATCAAAATAAATATCACCATTTCTTTAGTTTTCTGGCCAATATTTGCGCTGTAATTAAAAACATAATTAATTAAAAACTACTAAAACTGTATTAGAAAGCCTAAGAATTTATAAAGAAGGTCCTAGCATTACTGAGCTATATTATGAAGAAGCTGAATACAATTATTATACCCCATGAGGCTCCTATTCTGCAGAAACAGGACAACCAGTCTGAGAATGCTGGTAAACAGTGTGCCAGGGACAGCAGTTCATCCTTCCAAAAGTCAAGCATGATCCAGCCGCTGAGCCCTTTTTTATAACAATCAGCCTCTCTTAATATTATATTTATTTTACAGTATGCAGCTGACTTGCAGCATGCAGACTCTTTCCCTGCTATAATAAGCACGACAGAGCCTACAGCCAGACTAGAGATACTGACTATTATCTCCTAACCATATCCGTATAATATTATATCAGATCTATAACAGGAACTCTATAACTCTCATACTGGTCACCCGTATAATGATGGACCAGAAAACCAGCAGTAGCTGTCTGACACCTAGTCTAATATTCAGGACTTGACAGTGCTCATTATGTCTGAGATCAGCTATATGCAGTAACTGTCTCCAGATGAATTATCTCTGTCTATACTGTCTACTAACCATAGGCCATCAACGAGGCCTTTCTTGTAGCCAGTGTAAGACTATGTGATACTGTCCCAGGCTACAGTAATAATGTTGCTGCTGCTGCCGCTGCCGTCCATGAGCCATGCGACGTAACCGGAAACCTCTGTCCTAAATGGCTCTGTTTATGGAGCCCTGTTGTCCATGGTCTATAACCCGCCTGCTCAGATGTATGCGGGGTCTCTGTAGGGGGGTCCTACATTTTTATCTTCTTTAGACTAGATACTGCAGTTCAGCCAATACCCCCCTCTGGGCCACTCGACCGGTTTGATCAATCTGCTAGTTTCATCACAGTTAATGGCGCCGGCTCAGTCAGGATTGTAAAATCAGGGACTGTCTGCGCAGACCGTACAGTATCTAACTTAAGCTAGTAATCTACCCAATCAAACCATACCTGATAGCTTATGGGGATCCATGGTCCTGGCATCTGCAGGCAGATACATAATCCCTTTCAAGTCCTGCTAAGATAACTATTTATTAGAGTATAGATTAGTTTAGCATATCTAGTAATATCTAACTTAATACACAATGTTCAACCGTGCATGGTAGCATGGTGATTCCTTACTTTAAATTAATATATACTATCTTATAGAGTATAAACCAAAATATCCATGATGGCTGTAACAAGCTGTAACCTTTATACATTTCTTAACATGTACTATACTTATTAACTCGAGCTGTGCATGTTCCGCAGCAGACAGCTCTTGGTAAGCTTCCCTACCATGTATTCTAGTATATTATACTTAATACTCCTGCCGGGTAATCTCCGAGTTATGGAAAGAACCAACCAGATGATCAGCCTGCAAGATGATAGAACCCCGAAATTCGAGTAACACGCAAAGTTCCACGACCCGTGGTTGTCTGCCCAGCAGATCGGTGTTTTAGGCGTGGTCAGACTAGTAGGTCTTAGGTCATCTCTAGGCAGTCAATTCTGCGGATGCACATACTTCGGCCTGTGGCCGTTCATTGCAACCTGTCTGTTCGCAGTCCGTTTATAGTTTCTACTCTTTTCACACAGTGTAAAAACCTTTCATTATTTAGCTGAGACACCATCAGGAACGTGTTAAGACAGTATGTCCATATCTTTATAAGCAAACAATCATAGTCCTATAATGGAGTCATTCCATAATCAACATCACAAGCAGTTTACTACTGCCTGGACCGAGCATCAGAACTTATCTATGACTCAGACAGTCACTCTTCCGTACATTCAAATCATACATAAAAATATACATGATATTTAATAAGAAAATACATTTCTAGTATTTCATAGATATATTAACAGTATCTTACCATTATATTTATTCTGAGCTCTGTAAATTGAAAAAGGACAGAATATATTAATATACTAGATCAGGATGGTGGCCTATTATTCTTAATTAAAATCAGAAATACATGGCCTGTATTACCGAAATCTCTTAATAGAGATTAATCTGCTCAATAACAAGTAATCACTTGAATATAGCTGAACCAATACTTTTTAAGTTAGCTACTGCCTTTAGTAAGGTTTGAAACATCTCAGGACTATTAAAGTCATATCACAGTAAAAGACTCCGCACTGTTCTGTCTAATAGATAGACAGAGTCTGGAGAATAAATCACAGGTGAGTACTCTATACTTATCATTATGTTAAACATAACCAGATTAGTGCTGGCTTAATTAATAATAAGGGCCTAGTCTACTCTAATCATTACTTGTGTAGATCTAGACCCTTCTTAAGATGTCTCCAGGGCAACCTGGAGCAACAGTATTTAGCTCTATAAATCCATCAGAAAATGATTATTTACTATAATAGGAGATTTTACTGTCTAGACACACTTAGCAACTGTCTCATAATATACGTTGACTCTTGGTAGGCCGATAGCCATTCATTCCACCGTCCGACCATTTTCGTTTAGAAAGAATGTCTACTTTAGGCAGTATTAAGGTCAAGCAACTGACTCACTCCTTCCTGGATCTATAAGAAAATCAAACAGTTTAAATTACATTAAGCTCAAACAACGGGGCCATCCCGTGGAAAACATAATAATACTATTAAGTAAGATACAGAAAATTCTGCTATCAATGCACAGTCATGCAGTTAATCATGTTACTAAATTAATCTTTAATACTAAAATAGAGGCCTCTTTCTAAATACAGTCAGTATTTCTTGTAGTCTGCAGTACCACTCTGAGTGTCTCTATAGAAAGACTATCTTTAAAACCTTATTATTTCTTTCAGTATTGCCTGGAATCAAGGAGTCCCTTTTGTCTATACTATTATATACTTAATTAGCAGTAGCTGAGTTACACCGGGGTCCTCCATTCTTAGTCCGGTCAAGATAGACCGTGTAATTCTGAAGATGATAAGCAAGGAGTCTCTGGCTGCAGCTACAGGTTAAAGCTTGTATCTAAATCACGGTGTTAAATATAAATATAGCATCTCAACCGTGGGAGTACTGAAAGAAAAAGCTTGACAGCATGCCCTGGCCTGTTCTGCATTATCCTGGAACTAAAGAACCTGCTATATTTAATATTGCCAGTAGAAAGAGAAAATCCTGGCATAAATATTCTTAATTCTTGTTACATCGGCTATCCCATTGCCTGAAAGTAAACAAGATTAATCATATTATTTAAAATTATAAAGAAATAATTATTATATTAACCGCCATATACCCGGAGATATAGATAGCAAAATATTCCTTATTAAAGATAGATCACGATCTCTAAGTCTGGCTGGTGAGAAAACTGGATTAATATTAATAGAAGAACTAATTCTATAATATCTGTTATAATCTATACTATAAGCTGTATATAAAGATATCTGATATTATCCAGAAGCTTATTCTATAATCATACTTTGAGCTGGAGTCACCCCCAGCAGGAGATCTGTTTTTTTATAATATTATCTAATAATTTAGTACAGTACTTCAGATAGTACAAGTCAGAGAAAGAAATGTAGAAGAGCATTAGAAATAATACTAGAATATTCTACCAGCAGCCGCGATGCCAGCTACTTAGATCTAGCTGCTATTAAAAGCAGCCTAAGACAGAGAAGGGATGGTTAAGACATGAGTATATCTACTGGTCTGTTATTATTAAGTAAAGAGATGTACTCTGTACTCAAGGCAGTCAGCCTGGATGGCATAAAACATGCTGAAGTACTGCCAAGCTGTTCTACTTCTGTCTTAGTGTAATACGTAATCAAAGTACGGGACCGCGTGCTGGCGCTCTCCCATCAGATACATGCTCCTGTATGCATCTTTCCTCAGTAGTCATCTGGCCGCAGTAAAGTAGAATCAAAGTCGCCGGCGGGGCTGCAGCTGAACATTTTAAGAGCATTGCTTTATATCTGCATCTGTTATATTCCTTCCATATATAAAGCCGGACAGAGTCTGCTTGAGGACCAGATTGGCCACGGCCAATGATGTCTGAAACCACGATGCCTGCAGACAGCGAGAGCCAGGAGGTGTATTCACCTCACGGACTTGTTCCATGCTCCCTATCGCGACTGGGATCACCTGTTAAAGATGCTGGTACGTACCCTGAGCTTCACTACAGCTTGCTGGAACAATGCGTTATCACAGTGATTATCATCCTGGCCCAATCATACTCGCAGCCGGTTTCGGTGGGATGCGTGACGGCACGGGAAAGGTCTATGGTTCAGGAGGCGGCTGTCATGCAGAAGATCGTGGAGAGCGGTTGCCCAGCTCCGACCAACGGAGTAACAATCCAGAGGGTAGCTCAACCCCCCGCGTGAACAGAGATAATAAAAGGCTAAATAGAGACAGGCAGCACCACCGCCCATCCATATCTCTTTAGCTTACCAGGCCTGGCAGTTACCGCAGCCACTGACCGGATCACAATGTCACAGCACAACCAGCATCTTCCCCCGATGGAATGACCAACACCACCTGGGCTACATAAGAAGCACCTATAAGTGCTTCCAGAGCGTGCTGAAAGGGCCAGACAACGCAGACTTTATGCAAATATACCGTACACTCCTGGTCCATCTACAGAGACATGCTAGTTAACAGTTATACACCTTGGGTCTGTATCTTATAATACAGAACAAGAAGACAGCACGCGTCCTACAGCTGTTAATAAGTAAAGAAGAGATCATAAAGCCAGCAGTTTCTGTAGTCTCTCTACTCTTAGACAACAGACCTTCCCAGGTCATGCAGCTACCATAATCCTGACAATTCAGTCCATAGTTTTAACCTTCTTTATCTCTTCACAGAGGATGCAAAGGACTCGGATAAGGATAATCATTACATAGATTATGACCATCCAGAAGCAGGTTTCTGGTTGTGCTTCACGCATGTGGCAACCAGACCAGGGATAAGACTAGCAGCAAAAACATAGAAAGACTCCTGAACCGCACGGACCGGTGGTCGCGAGTATCAATGTACCAAGCCTGTACTCAGGAAGGCGATGAAAGGAACCCTCAATTATTGTGCAGTCCTGAGAATAGGGGTGTGAGCATAGTAACAGCTTTACATAGACATAGGCAAGATAGGCATTCTTTCACCATACGCATGGATGCAGGTAGCCACTTAGACTTTGTTATTTTAGACTAGCTGGTTATGTCGGCTCGGCTCTCTCTGCGAATACGATACAGCCGGAGAAATCCCATTCACTGTTTCACATGCTACCGGATAAAAAAGATGAAACACAGGTATAGATAATGCCTGCGGAGTTTGATTGATGATGGCTAAGCATCTCTAATATAATGATAGAGTTACAGTACTTACTCCCGAATGCTATTAGATCACATAAGAATGATGTTTGTGCCTGCAGCATACGACTGATATGGCAAATTACTAATCTGGACATTGTACAGACCTCTCAAATCACCATCCATGTATTTACAGACGGCCGATGCGACTTATAAAGTACGGTTTGCCACGCCACCGGAAGGGTGTCCCGTCCGTTGACCCTGGGTCGCAGCTGATCAGCCCAGGTCAGGACAGCTTATATCTCAGTCGCTCTGACTGGGAGTGGCCCTCGACCGTATTAACCGCGTCATGCTGGGGTTCAAGCTTCTTGCTGTATGGCTTGGGATTGGATTTGTGGTTAGCATCGTTCCCGAGTTGAGTGACTCCTGCCTGACCTGTCCAGATATTCGCGACAATCAGTGAAAGCCCTATTCTGCTTTCGAAGCATAAGATACTTCTGTGTGTATGATTATTCTCTGGCTGTCTGTGCTCTTGGTATCATGGAGGTCTAAAGAGTCCTTAGGAAGCATCTATCCACTATCGGGACGGAAGGAGGCCCGGAACACCAGATCTCATGGTACGATGTCGGGTGTACCAACGGAGTCGAAGTCGGCTGTACCGTAGTCACTGGAGAACATGATCTAATTAGTGGACTACGACACCACGTGCAGAAAACTTCCCCTTCCAATGAGATAAGACAGTTGTATTACTGTATTATAGCTAGAAAAATTTCCGTGAGCAGCAACATGATCCCACGCCTCATGCGGGTCTAATTGATATTGTAGGGCCTAATGTAAGGAGACCTCTACGACATTATAGTGCTTCTCAAAGGACCGAGGATAGCATAAGCTAGTTTCCTGCGCGGATGAATGTGGTTGTGATTCAGACATGGAGGTCCGTCTAAAGCAAGATCAACGGTCATGCTTACATGTGATCATATACGCGGACGTTCTTGCTGTCAAACCAGCATACCCAGTATCACACATGGAGGCAGGCCCGTCATGGGCAAGGGGCAGATGGATGGGGATGCCTTGTCATGAAGGCCAAGGCGGGTGTTGTCCATCCTAAGTTCGAAACCCGATGCGACACTGTAAATGACATAACAGCTGGTTGTAACATTCGTGTAGACAAGAACCGATTAGGTGTGGTTTGCTTTACATACTCAATTGACGGGGCCGTGGTTTCAGAGCACCCGAGAAATAATGACAATTATGCTTAAACTGCTGTCCATGCTGTGCTGCTGAAAGCTTCAGGGCCTGGAAATCAGCAGGGCCCGTTGATCTTCAGAATACCAAATAGTTGCTTGGTACAGCTTCCCTTCCAGAATGATCGGATATAGACCTTTTCTTCTTAGTTTTCCCTGAGGCTGTAAAAACCTGACGCCGACCCATACCGAGCACACTTTGAGTCAAGATTCCACCTCTACGTCCATGGTGTACACTGGACAGCTGGTCAGTATTGCGTGCGATAAAAAATGGGACCTCTGTGGCCTTTCTTAGAGTGTTATATACCAAGAGCGCCCGACTCTCCTATAAGACCAGGCCGAGCCTCGGGCTAGAGGCTTGTGAAACAATCCACTAGAGTAAGATCAGAGAACCCTTGGATCCTTGAATAATCCAGGATAAAGAAAATCATGAACAGCGTGGATACTACCAAGCTCTATACACAGTGTTTCCAGGCCGGGCTTCTCCTTCACAAGAACAAGAAGGGTGCAGAGCTTTCTAAATATATTAGAAACATAATAAGTAAATTAAGTACTAAATCAGTCAGTGTCTTAAAAAGCGCAGCGGAAACTATATTAACCGCTCTAGCTTAAATAGATGAAATCACGCCCGATTCAAGCAAGTTCAAAGATTCTGATAACTTCATAACCTATACAGGAATCCTCAGAGATCTTATAAAGATCAGTGATCTACCAGAGAAGAAAGCCCTAATATTAAGTATAGTGCCCCATGCCAAGATGCGAGCTATAATAACTAACCATGGGCAGAGCTACGGTCCTTTATACAGAAGAACAATCTCAATAACAATATTCTCAGCCCTGGCCAACCAGCTTCAGCAGAAGAGCAGCCAGATAACAAGAACGAGGACCCTACAAATAACGGGGCCAAGGACCCAAAAGGTGACAAGGACGAGAAGGCCACAGATAAAGAAGACAAGCAGCCAGCAGGTGGTAAGGACGAGGCGGTAGGTGACGGGGACAAGGAACTGGTAAGTGGTGAGAAGAAGGACTCAGCAAGTGAAGAGGACGAGAACGCAACCGGAGCTAGCGTGGTAAATGATGTCAATAGATCGGCAAAGGAGATCTGGAAGGAGCACGGCTTAAAATATATGACTGTTATTATCAAAGAGACTGAGACCACCATCCTATATGAGGAGTAGACGCGGCGAACCCAGACAACCAAGTACACCAACTCCCGCGGCACAGCCAGTAACTATGTCATGGAATTCAAGAACAACATCACAAATATGTTCCAGTATAAGATTATATCAGCTGCAGAAGCCGCGGGTCTCCTGTCCTGATGGGTCACTCTCAAGAAAAAGCTAGTTACCGAGCCCGAGGGAAAGCTGATTCTCAATAAGAAGGAGACAGGGAAAGTAGTCAAGTTCTACTTTTACTATTTCTATCCTTAAAAAGCATTAGACCTTGATTCAGCTTTCCGAAACCCTATAACAAAGTATTATATTAAGTTTAAGTATCTTGAAGGTCTCTACTTCATGCTTCTTAGTAAACTTGCTTTGAAGAAATATAACTAAATAACTAGCTATATATTAAAGATTTTTAAGAGAGATTAAATACCATTATTAAAGACAGTAGGGCCCCTGAAGTACCTGGAGACAAACTCTATCTATTATAATCTACAAAGAGTCTTCAGCCCTCTCAAATGAGAAGTCTAATCCTGATATGACTTTTGCTATACTGATTATATTATTAACAGAATTAATCTTGACAGATATAAAAAGATAACTGATAAGAATATATTCCAGAGCCATGATGCCATCAGATTACTGAATATAGATATTATAAGCCTCAGGACCCGCTTGGAGGTCCTTAAGTTAGGATCAAACAAAATATAGAGCTTGATGAAGAGTAATTAGAAGAGTGTCTTCAACATTATAACCAGTATGAAAGAACTTATAATTATTATATAAGAAATATTTAAGAATATCTAGATAAATATTGCAAATCTGGTACTGCATATTAATAATATATCCCAGCAATCTAAAGACATGATAAATCAACTTTTTAAGTGAATTAAACAGTAATCCCAAGCTGAAAAGCAAATTTCAGTCTTAGAGATTGAAAGGATAATTAAAACTATTTTGGCAGATATCTGCGAGCAGATTGAATCTGCTAAACAAGATATATATGTAGATAGTATTAATAATATTATAGCTATTATATAATCTCTTTTCTACTGTATAATAGAGTTTCTCCTAAACTAATAACATAATACTTTAAAAGACAGAAAAATCACTATATATTTATCCTGTTATATAATCTCTTGTTGGATATTCTTCTTTAATATTTTCTGATTTAATCTTGCAAATATATTATGGTCTCTATCTTAAACTCTATATTTGCTATTTAACATACTTAGGACTATTCTTATATCTTATACTTTACTGCTTGTAAATTAACTAGTTAGCTTACATGCTATTTCTTTTAATAATATATCTAGATATTATAATAATATATATATTATACTAAATACCAGAGATCTACGCGATACTTATACTGTATATATATATAAGATGGGAGTAGCGCTTGCAGTTTTTATGCCCCAAGCTGCAGCAGTTAATCTTCCTCTTTACTGCTTAATAGTCCTCGCCAGATCGCGGGTCATATTATTGCCATCCCCAACCCAAGTTCTGCTGAGCATTGTTACAGACCCCTGCTAGCCAGGTTACTAGCAGAAGCGGACTCGTCAGGCAGAAAGGTAATGACCAGGAAGGACTCGGGCAGCCAGCAACTCTTATTGAGTAAGATCCCGGTTAGGGTAATACCCGAGGCAATGCTGTATCACGTGACCATCTATCATCAGATCTACCATCAAGGGTATATGATATGGTATATGGAATCCAGGAACGTGATTAGATCAACCCTCGATCTACCCTGAATAGTATACGAAATGATATATAAAGAATAGAATATAAGGACACTCTTTCATGTACTTAGCTAGTTCTATTCTTCATGCTTAATCTAATTGTCTTTAAGTAACCATATGTTTTGATAAAGCTTAGTGACAACACTTGTCCGCACTTACTTACGGATAGCTGCGCGGCACTATCTAGCCTTACTTCTCTTCTTCTGTTCAGATCAAGTCATCTTTAGATAGTCAATAACCTGACTACCTTTGATTCAGTTCACAAGGTACGTATTGGAACGGGAGCTAAGCTAATAAGAACAGGGAGAAGCGATCCTAGGATTTGACACATTGAGCACCAGTCAGTACGAGTGTTATCCAGTGACAACCAGTCATCATATCAACTACATCGAACACATCGCGAGCGCCTCAGCAGCAGGGCCCGACGACCAAGGAACTGATGGACATGGTTAGTCAGCTACAAGAAAGCATCACTGCCTTAGAATAAAAGAATCAGTTACTCAAAGATCGCTTGTCAGTCAAATCTGTCAAGGTCTGACCACCCGAGCCATTCAACGGCAAACAAGCGAAGCTCAGAGCTTTCTTGACCCAGTTAGACTTGTATCTTAACATGAATAAGGAAAAGCTCAAGAATAAGAAGGACAAGATCTTTTTCGCGTTTACTTATCTTACTAAAACAGTATTTAATTAATTTGAACTGTATATCCGCGAGTGATAAGAAAAGTTAATAAGTAACCAGAACAACAATATGAAATGATTTTTTACTAGTTATACCAGATTTAAATAGTATCTTGAACAGATATTCGAAGATATTAATATAACATGAAATACTAAGTAAAAGTTATAATGATTCAAGTAGACAGAATTAGTATCCATATATACTTTAAAGTTTCAGCAAGTCATTAATCACCTGGACTGGAATAATAATACTTATATTTCATAATTTAAAAAAAAACTTAAGATAGAGATCTAAGAAAAGATTATTTAGCAAGAATGACCGGACACCTTGGCTAAGATGATTAAAGCAGCTATAAGGATTAATAATAAGTTGTATGACTTTAATATAAAATAATAAGAAGATTAGTAGACTAGCGGGTCTATATCTCAACACAGTAATCAGCCAGGTTATCAAGCCAATAACAGAAGGTCGGTATAACCTAGAAGCTTGGGATATAAAGATCCCTATAGGCTGAAACCCATGGAGCTGGATACAGCACAGCATTAGACTCAATAAACTCAAGTATCTAAGAAGGAACTTGAACAATACAAACAAGACTGCTTGTGCTTTAGCTGCGGCAAAGCAGGTCACCAGTTAAAGGACTGTAGTCAGAAACAGCCTCAGAAGCAATTGAGAGCTATAAACCAAGATCAAGATAGAGAAGCCTATGATGTCACTGCCATTCAGCACGAAGTTTGGACAGAATCTGCAACACAGATATTAAATAGCAAGAAGCTACATGCTATTTAGCATGGTTGGCTATCAAAGGACAGAACGTACCATAATTAGTTGAGATAACAGGCCATCCTGGATGAGTCAACAGTACTATCTAGTTAATAAGAGGATTGATGATTATCTGTATTATTAATTTAGACTATAGAAGTCAACGATAACAGTTATAAGCCAGTTTCGAGGAATAATTATCCCAGTATAGTTTGGGACGAAGATGAACTGTTGGATAAAGAGTACAGTATACTGCTTAAAGATCTTGAACCTAGTAAGGAAAGATTTAGTGAGATATCTAATACTCCTGAAAAACCCTTATCAGAAATTAATAAACTCTGTCTATCATAGTGAGATGAAGACAAGAAGAACTAGAAGAACAATCAAGAGAATATTGTTTATTAATTAGACTGCATCTTAAACAAGATCTTGAAGAATCTAGCATGATTCTGCCCAGAGCTTAAAATAATCATGCAGCATTGCCCACATTGGGATTTAAAATGTTAGAAATCATGAAATAAGACTTGGGAACAATATCTATAGAGATATTCTTATCACCCAGAAATTTGTTTAACATGTAGATAAGATAATATAGACTATTATTACCAGCTATTAGAGATTAGTCAGAAGATAAATATTGCTGAAACAGAATCTTAATATGATAAACTATATCTATACATTCATTTTAAAAGAAGCAGAGATTATTAAAGATATAATAAACTCTCTTGACTTGTGTATTACACAAACACATGCTTAATATACTATAATTAGAAGTATATTACTAACTACTAATCTAGAATACCGGAAGTGATTAGGGCTAAGACAAGCCATTATTTATATAATATCTTTAATTATATGTGTAAAAAATACCAGAGACACTCTCACCACAGATTAATATATTGACTAGCATATTTCAATAATCAGTATATAATATACTACACAGTAAAGATAGAAGGCTTAAGATTTTCAAGAAGATATTTACAGCAGTTAGAACCTAACTAGCCAGAACAGCAATTAGTAGTTACAGAATCAGAGCCATACTTAAAGATCCAAGCAGTTATACTGAATCAACCAGTCCAAGTACTGATAGACTCTGGAACAACTAGGAACTTCATACACCCACAATTCATACAATAGCTTAAAATACTCAGATAATAGAAAACAGAATCCAAACCAATTATAGAACTAAATAGAGAGAATTTGGGAACTCTCATATTAACAGTCAAGTCAGGAACTGTATTTATGACTGTAAAGAATCACTATAAGTATATAGACTTTGACATGATATCTTTAAAATAGTATGATATTATGTTAGAGATTCTATGGCTCAGGAATCATAACCCGCAGATTGATTAAAAAGCTAAGAGTCTTTAATTTATGAATTATGATTGTCTAAGACGATATCAGCAAGAACCAGGTATGGGGTCTGGATCTATACAGTCTGCTACTCAGCAAGGAGCTGAAACAAGGATTAAGTAATCTAGTAAGAAGAGGTTGAGATCACCATGAAAGCCTAACACGCCAGGTATTAAAGATAACTTAGAGAAAAATAGCATCTTAAGTATAGTTATATAAGTAATAGCAGCAACCAAGCCATCACAAAGAGATTAGCTTATGAAATTATCAGAATAGATACTAACAATAATAGAAGAGTACTGCAAGTATAGTATTAACAGCTCTAACACAGAGATCAAGATGACTATCCAGAAACTAAAAGATTTATGAAAACTTCTAGCTGCAGTCAAGAGTAACGCGCAGATCCTACCACAGTATAAAAGATTTAAGGACTTGTTTAAATAACTAGAACAACCTAAATTATCTTAGCATGGAAAGCATGACCACACTATCCCTATAAAGAAAAAAAAGTTATTAATATATAGAAAGATTTACCCAATATCTGAAAAAAAATCGCAGGCACTATAAGAATATATTAATAATCAGCTAGCTAAAGACAATATCAGGCCTTCGAAGTCACCAGCAGGACATGAAGTCCTATTTATATCAAAAAAGGATAACAGTTTACAACTATATATGGATTATCAGCTACTAAATATTATCATAATTAAGGATCAACACCCGTTACCTTTGATCTCAGAAATCCAAGATAAAATACAAGAAATAAAGTGATTCACTAAACTTAATATTACAGATATATATTATTATATATATATCATGGAAGATGAAGAATGGAAAACCACATTCAGAATAAAATATAGATACTTTAAGTACTTAATTATACTATTTAAGCTTACCAACGCACTAGCATTATTTCAGTAATATATTAATAAAGTTCTTAAAGAATATCTTGATAAATTCATAATTACTTATCTAGATAATATATTAATCTTTTTAAAGACTGAGAAAGAGCATGTAAGATATATAAGACTAGTTCTATATAAATTACGCCTATATTAATTATGATACAAGCTGAAAAAATATAAATTCTATATACAGAAGACAGAGTTTCTGGGACATTGGATATTTATAGAAAAAATCTATACTGAGCAAGCTAAAGTACAAGCCATACGGGATTAGCCTCAATCTAAGAATCTGAAAAAATTATAGCAGTTTATCAGATTAGTTAATTACTATTAATGATTTATAGACAGATATACCATCCATATAATACCACTCTTTAAGCTTATAAAGAAGTTAAAAGAATATTAATAGAAAGAACCACAGCAGAGTACGTTTGAAGATATTAAACAGTAATTTATTATATTACCAGTACTTGTACAGCACGATCTAGAGAAAGAAATAACTATTGAAATCAACATATCAAACTATACTATTAATATATATATAACGCAATCTGGAGAAGACAGAAAGCTGAGACTAATTATATTTTATTTAAAAAAGTTAATTTAAGCAGAACTCAACTATAATATTCATGACAAGAAATTGCTAGTTATAGTAATAATATTTAAGCAGTAAAGAATCTATCTTAAAAAAGCAAAGCATACTGTCATTGTGAAGATAGACTATAAGAACTTAACCTACTTTATAATAATTAAAGAGTTGACCAGAAGGCAGGCATAATGGGCTGAGATTCTGTTATAATATGACTTCAGAATCATACACTATAAGAGAGTAAAGAATGAATATACAGATACGTTAAGCCACAGGCCAGACTATGAATTAAATAAAAAGACTATTAAACCGGCCATCCTGAAGCGGAATATGGATAAGTTGATCAGCTATAACAAGGCCAATCTAGTAATAATATTGGAAATAGGTAGCAATCTAACCAAGTGATTAACTAAAGATATAAAAAATGATAAAATACTCCAAGAAATAAGCAAGGGCTCACCAGATAAGATTATTATTAATAAAAATAGACTAACACACTTTCACGGATTAATCTTTATATTAACTGTAATAAAGACAGAGATTATGGCTAAACACCATGATAGACTGCTTAAGAGTCACTTAGAAATGGAAAAGATAACTGAACTAATTATAAGAAATTATTATATTCCGAATCTTAGACAGAAAGTACGCGATTATATTAGATAATATAAGACTTATATTAAAAATAAGCCTGCGAGGCACTAACCCTACAAACAAATACAAGTACAGGAGGTGCTATAACAGCTATAAGAATAGATAATAATTAACTTTATTGGTTTACTACTAGAATCAGAAAGGTTTGATATTATCACAGTCATCACTAATCACTTTATTAAATATATTTATCTTGTACTAAGTAAAATGATAATAATAATAATATAGATAGTAAAACTGTTTCTAGAAAATATTATTATATATTATAGAATACTGAAGTACATCATATCAGATCAAGATAAGTTATTTATCTTAAAGTTCTGGAGATTACTCACAGATCTTATAAAAATTAAAGAATAAATAATAACAGCTTACTACTTACAGATGAATAAGTAAATAGAAAGGATTAATCAGGTAATTAAGTAATACTTAAAATACTATATAAACTACTAGCAGAATGATTGGGTGAATCTGTTACTGATAGTACAGTTTTTATATAATAATACTAGTTACTCAATCATTAGAGTCTCACTGTTCTACACTAATTACGGATATCATCCAAGGTTTCTGAAAATGCTATTAAGAAGATAACAAGTTATTAATATAGTTAAGAATATTATCATATTCATGAAAAATATATATTTATAATTATCTCAAGACATTAAGTTTATGAACTTACGCAGCAAGATGTACTATGATCATAAATATAGAAGAGAACCTGATCTTAAAAAAGGAAAGAAGATATTCTTATTCTGCAGAAACATCAAGATAAAATAACTAAGTCAGAAGCTTAATCATCACAAGTTAAGATCATTTGTTATCAAAGATAAGAAGAGGCTGGTTAACTATAAGTTAAGGTTACTAAAATCGATGAGCAAAATTCATCCAGTATTTTATATCTTATTGTTGGAACCTGTATCAAAGAACGCTAGAATCACAGAAAATATAGAGATTGACGACAACATAAAGAAAGAATATAAAGTTAAAAAAATCCTAGACTACAAGAAGATTAGCGGCAGGTCAAAATATCTGGTAAAATAAGAAGAATATAATACCTCAGAAAACACGTGGGAACCTATTAAGAATTTGACAGGCTGTTATCAGCTTGTGAAACAGTACCACCGATAGACAGGTTAAAGTTCGCCCAGAATAAAGGGAAACCAATCAACTAAGTCAGACTAGGAGCATCTGACACAGCGGCAAGTTAAGCAGCGTTGTATTTATCAGCCAGACACTCTAACTCTCAGAGATCCTCAGCGCTTAAGGGATCCTTCTCATCCAGCTGCTCCAACACAGACAAGTCGTGATTCAATATCCACTCACCACGATCTTTTAGAAACTGCTGTTGCTTGAACAAGCGAGCCACTTTGACAGCAATACAGGCCTGTTTAGCAAGAGCCTCAGCGAGTTCGTTTTACATATCTGATTAATTATATTTTAATTCATTCCACTCTCTATCACTGTGAAATTGTTTTTCATATTTTCAGCCACAACAAGTACAGGCAGCACAATTTTAGCTTTTTAAATCCATGATATAAGAAATGCCTCTCAGGAAACAATGTTCGCAGGAACTTTCGGTGATAAAACCGTTATCATAAATCTTGTTAGACTGATAAATATGTTTCTTCATCTAATTATGATTAGCGCAATGACGAGACATGATAGACTATCATAGAAAAAAGAGAAATTAAAAAAACTCAACCAATACAGGAGGGACACGCATCTTTATGTTTCTTGAGAATAAGAAACCTCAAAGAAGGAGAAGTGATGTTACAGACCCCTGCTAGCCAGATTACTAACAGAAGCGGACTCATCAGGCAGAAAGGTAATAACCAGAAAGGACTCAGGCAGCCAGCAACTCTTATTAAGTAAGATCCTGGTTAAGATAACACCCGAGGCAACGCTGTGTCACGTGACCATCTACCATCAGATCTACCATTAAGAGTATATGATATGGTATACGGAATCCAGGAACATGATTGGATCAATCCTTAATCTATCCTGAATAGTATAAAAAATAGTATACAAAGAATAGGATATAAGGACACTCTTTTATATATTTAGCTAGTTCTGTTCTTCATACTCAATCCAATTATCTTTAAGTAACCATACATTTTGGTAAAGCTTAGCGATAATACTCATCCATACTTACTTACGGATAGCTGCGCGGCACTATCTGGCCTTACTTCTCTTCTTCTGTTCAGATCAAGTCATCTTTAGATAGTCAACAACCTGACTATCTTTGATTCAGTTCACAAGGTACGTATTGGAACGGGAGCTAAGCTAACAGGAACAGGGAGAAGCGATCCTAGGGTTTGACAAGCATATAGGACATTACCGTGTACAGAAATTATAGGATAATCAATTAAAGAAATTCCACATTTTATAGATGATTCTGTAATATAGTATATTTAGGCTCTAGACAGATCTCTAGATTAAATCAGTAATATAGTAAAGTATAATACTAGTTCAAGAATTAGCATATTCTGTATTTCATATTAAGTATGGTAATTGATAGATACATGTCTAACTGGGTAGCCAGTACTGCCTCTTGCCAGGATAAATAATTAATAAAACATAACTAATTAAAACCAGTCTTAAGACAGGCGGAAGGAGATATTTATATGTTCTGACAGTAGAAGCTGACTAGAAGTAATTATTTACTTAGCCAACGTGCGGTCAGAAATCTTATACTCTAAGTTATTCTAATATATATTTCACATGGTGTATTATACCATGCAGATGTAGTCCTGGATAGATTATAACTAGACAGCAGTTGCCGTGTAAGGTTTATCTCTGTGAAAGAGTCTCGCCTGGGCTGGCTTAATGATCTTGAAGTTGGTCATCATTAACAGCACCCCTTGGACCGTGCATTGTCGAGGGGCCGCGTAATGACCAGGGTAGTCTGCTTGCCCGGCCGCCGGCCAGTGTTCCGTGGTTGAGGCCGGGCAGAGTCAGACAGAAACGGTGGAGCTCCTTCCTGATTTGAGCTAGCTTGTCGCGTAGTGCAAGGCACTATTGCCTCGCAACTTACCGGTTCAACACTCTTTGAACGTAAAGCAAGATGAACCTAGCTCGTGGACCCCTGTCGTTTCTGAGGCCCCACTGCTGTTGAACAGTGATCAATTTTGCATACCCATCAACTTCGATGAGCCATCCATCTTGTGCGGTCTATCAACAAAGAAGTATTCCTACTTTGACCCTTAGGGAGCCTTCAAACATTCGCGTGCTTTGATTCTGTTGACATTTGGCCACCCTTACAGATATCCCCCCATGACAATCAAGCTGACTAATCTTTGTGGTTTGGTTCGGTGTGCAGCTATGATCAACAATCCTACATTTACCTGAGAACTCTCAGTTTCTATTCCATTATTACTGCCGGTTCACATTGCCCATGTGTACAAGTGGGTATCATCTCTTCTGCCGTCATTATTAGGCAGTACCAGGTCATTTTGGCTTGAGTCCCCTCCCCGTGAATACTTCCTACACTCTGCCCGCCGTCTTATTGATAGGTGATCCAGTTCACGGCAGCAAAAGTCAATGATTGGGTCCTGTCCGAGCTCAGGCCGAGCTCAAGATATGACAGAATCCTGTACGGCGGGAGGTTCTGGTACAAGACTTCTTAGAGACAGATCTCAGACCCTGTAATCTCACGTGTAATTATCTTATCATGCTCTATTCTATATATCTGCTTATCCGCCCAGGCCATGACAGGCATGTCGCGTAGCCCGCAAGCTCCGTGTGTTTGGCAGAGTGTGTAGTGTATCTCGTGGGACCTTGTTCCATATCTGGAAGAGAATGTTCTCTATATACTATAATATATCCATACACTGTGCAAGTCGCAGACGGGACTCCTCAGGGGCATTGTGGCGCCCCGAGGCGTGTGTACTCTCGGTCAGCATTTTCATTTGGCGGTGTTTCCAGTTGCTGGATCAGTATAGTAGCACAATGGAAGTTCACTACTGTTCCCTCCTGGAGCCTGATCTGTGTCAGAGTCAAAACTATTATCTGGGGTCAGGTTCAGCGATGCGCAGCTAGCTCCAGATTCGGGTAGATATTCAACATGCATTAGAGATGATGGGAGCTCCATCTCTCTTCTATTAGCTATCATACTCTCTCCAAGCTCAGGATCATCCTGTAACTGCTCGCTTCTTTTGAAACAAAGAAAACTTATGTGATTCCTGTCTTGCTTTCTTTCCTTCTCCCCCTAAAATAAGAGTACTTAAGATAAAACTGGATTGATTGTATATTATTATTAATGTATATCAGTATTAATGCAGAAATCATCTTCGTCTTTTCCTATATTTGAAAAGGGGCTGTATATCCGTTGCCGTTGTTTAGTCTGCATCCATAACCTCCAAGCCCGCAGCCTCAGACGCCTCTGCTGCCATTGCGTCCCAAGGACTCGAAAAAAGGCGAATACCTGACACATCGCCTCTTGCGCTGGCTAAAGTCTTACCAGCGGACCGACGAATGTGCGACTCGGGTAGCTTGTGCCATGATACACCCGATCCAAGATATAGGTCGGATGAAATGCGGCGGGAGTCAGTCTGGAAAAAGAATCATGCTTTATCTATTTCCCCTCTTAGTAATCTGAACCAGAATGGCCACATGAAGGCTGTGACTGGTTCAGGTTAGAACATATCTAGAAAGATATCTCAGGAAAATCAGCTCTCTAAGCCTGTCACTGAGCCCAGTGGCACCTCCCCTTTACTTATAGATATCTATAATAGAAAGGGGGCAGTGTTTTGTCAAACCCTAGGATCGCTTCTCCCTGTTCCTGTTAGCTTAGCTCCCGTTCCGATACGTACCTTTGAACTGAATCAAGGTAGTCAGGTTGTTGACTATCTAAAGGTGACTTGATCTGAACAGAAGAAGAGAAGTAAGGCCAGATAGTGCCGCGCAGCTATCCGTAAGTAAGTGCGGACAAGTATTGTTGCTAAGCTTTATCAAAACGTATGGTTACTTAAAGATAGTTGAATTGAGCACGAAGAACAGAACTAGCTAAGTATATGAAAGAGTATCCTTATATTCTATCCTTCATCATGGCATCGCCATGATATATCATGTCGCTGATATATTATATTATAGCACTGCCATGTTCTGTCGTAGCACTGCCATGTTATATCATGTTAGTAACATGTCCATCATGATCACGTGTTATATAACTGTCCCGGTTTGTAGATTACTCAGATCAGGATTCTACTTGATAAGAGTCCTCGCCTTCCAGACATAGCCTTCTGCCTAACAAGTCCGCCTTACTAGTTTGTTCAGCTAGCAGGGGTCCGTAACACCACTCCCCCTCTTTTAAGGTTTCTTGTCCTTAAGAAACATAAATTTGCAGTGCCTCCCTCCTGAGGTAAGTATCTGATATTAATTCCCAAAACTTTTTCTGGATTGTTAATCATGTTATCTAGTTCTTCTGTTTGTAAGAAGAGCCTTTATCAGCAGATTAAGGATGAAGGTTTCCTTGTGATTTTCCCTTGCAAGCGCTGTATTCGCCTTTACAAGGTTTGCATTAAATCTGAAAATTCTGATCACTGTAATAAGTATATTAAAACGAACAGGATTCATTACAAAATGCCTGATCCTTCCTTTTCTGATGCTGAGTGAAAGTATTTAGTCAAGGCTCAAAATTCCATCAAAAAAGAGGAAGAAATCATTCTGGCAAAACTTCTTTAATTATAAAAATAAAAATGGTTATTATAAAAGCGAGCTGGTGATTTTATAGCTCGTGATATAAAGAAAATCAAGAAGCTAGAAGAGCTCGAGAAGTAAGAATAAAAGAAATATAAGACGCAAGCAAGACTACACGATCAGCGAGCTGCAATATCCGAGGCCGAGGCTAGTATTATTATAGATAATATTGAATTAGCCGCCGCGTCTGAGCTTGATCTTAAAAATATCCTAACTTATTGGCTCTCCTTCTTTCTGGGCGAACTTCAACTTGCTTACTAGTAATACTGTTCCATAAGCTAGTAATAATCCATCAAATTCTTAATAGATTTCCATGTGTTTTCTGAGATATCATATTCTACCTATTTTACCAGATACTTTGACCTATTATTAATCTTTTTATAATCCAGGATCTTTTTAACTTCATATTCTTTCTCTATATCGTCATCAATCTCCATATTTTCTATAATTCTAACATTCTTTGGTGTGGGTTCCAACAATGAGATATAAAATATTAGATGAATTTTGTTCATCGATTTTAGCAACCTCAACTTATAGTTAACCAGTCTCTTCTTATCTTTAATAACAAATAGTTCTAGCTTGTGATAGTCAAGCTTCTGACTTGATCATTTTATTTTAATATTTTTATAAAATAGAAATACTTTCTTCCTCCTTTTTAAATCAGGTTCCCTTTTATATTTATAATCATAATATATCTTACTATATAAGTTCATGAACTTAATATCTTAGGATAACTGTAAGTATATGTTTTCTATAAATATAACAATATCCTCAGCTATATTAATAACTTACTGTCTTCTTAATAATGTTTCTAGAAACCTCAGGTGATATCCGTAATTAGTATAAAACAGTAAGACTTTAATAATCAAATAACTAACATTATTATATAAGAACTATACTATTAATAATAGATTTATCTAATCATCTTACTAATAGTTTACATAGTGCCTCAAGTATTGCTTAATTACCTGGTTAACTCTTTCTATTTGCCCATTTGTTTGCAGGTAATAAGTTGTTATTATTTATTCTTTAATTTTTATAAGATCTACAAATAATCTTTAAAATTTCAAGATAAATAACTTATCTTGATTTGATATAATATACTTTGGCATCCCATAGTATATAACAATATTTTTTAAAAATAATTTTACTATCTGTATTACTGTTATTGTTATCTTACTTAGTATAAGATAGATATATTTAGTGAGATGATCAGTGATGACCATGATAGCATTAAACCTTTCTAATTTTAATAGTAAATTAATAAAGTTAATTATTATCTATTTTTATAGCTGCTGTAGTGCTTTTTATACTTATATTTATCTATAAGGTTAATACCTCACAGGCTTGTCCTTAATATAAGTCTCATATTATCTAATATAATCACGTACTTTCTGTCTGAGATTTGGAATATTGTAATTTTTCATGATTAATTCAGTTATCTTTTCCACTTCTAAGTAATCCTTGAGTAGTCTGTTATAGTATCTAGCCATAATCTCTGTTCTCATCGCGGTTAGTATAAAGATTAACCCATAAAAATAGACTAGTCTATTTTTGTCAATGATGATCTTATCTAGTAAGCCCTTGCTCATTTTTTGAAGTGTTTTATTATTTTTTATACCCTCAGCCAATCACTTAATTAGATTACTACCTATTTTCAACATTGCTGCTAGATTAGTCTTATTATAGCTGATCGACCCATCTATATTTTGCTTCAGGATGGCTGGTTTAATAGCTTTCTTATCTAGTTTATAGTCTGGCCTACAGCTCAGCACATCTGCGTATCTATTCTCTACTTTCTTATAATATATAATTCTGAAGTTATATTATGACAGAATCTCAGCCTATTATACCTGTCTTCTAGTCAACTCTTTAGTTATCATGAAATAGGTTAAGTTTTTATGATTTATCTTCATAATAACAGGAAATTTTGTTCTTTTAAGATAGACCCTCTACTGCTTAAATATTACTACTATAGCTAGCAATTTCTTGTCGTGAATGTCGTAGTTGAGTTCTACTTAAACTAACTTTTTTAAGTGAAATATAATCAGTTTTAGCTTTCTGTCTTCTCCAGATTGCGTCATACGCATATTAACAGCATAGTTTAATATATCAGTCTCAATGGTGGTTTCTTTTTCTGGATCATGCTGTACAAGTATTAGTAATATAATAAGTCATTACTTAATATCTTCAAACATATTCTGCTGTGGTTCTTTCTACTAGTACTTCTTCAACTTCTTTATAAGCTTAAAGAGTAATATTATATAAATAGCATATCCGTCTACAAATCATTGATAGTAATTAACTAATCTGATAAACTACTGTAGTTCTTTCAGATTCCTAGATTAAGATCAATCCTGTATGACTTATACTTTAGCTTGCTTAGTATGGATTCTCTTTATAGATATCTAATATCTTAGAAATTCTGTTTTCTATATATAGAATTCATACTTCTTCAGCTTGCATTATAATTAATATAAGTATAATTTATATAAAACTAGTCTTATATATCTTATATATTCTTTCTCAGTCTTTAAAAAGATTAATATATTATCTAGATAAGTAATTATAAACCTATCAAGATATTCTCCAAGAATCTTATTAATATATTATTAAAATAATACTGGTGCATTGGTAAGCCTAAATAATATAATCAAGTACTTAAAATATCTATACTTTATTTTAAATATAGTTTTCCATTCTTTATTTTCTGTAATATATATACAATAATATTTATCTATAATATTAAGTTTAGTAAACCACTTCATTCCTCGTATCTTGTCTTGGATTTCTGAAATTAAAGATAACAGATATTAATCTTTAATTATAATAATATTTAATGACTGATAATCTATGTATAGCTGTAAGCTACTATCCTTTTTCAGTATAAATAAGACTTTATATTCTACTAGTAACTTCAAAGATCTGATATTATCTTTAATCAGCTAATTATTAATATATTTTTATAGTATCTGTAATTTCTTTTTAGATATTAGATAAATCTTTCTATATATTAATAACTTTTCTTTCTTTATAAGAATAGTATGGTTATACTTTCCATGCTAAGATAAGTCAGATTACTCTAATTATTTAAACAAGTCTTTAAATCTCTTATACTATGATAGAATCTGTGTGTCATTCTTGACTACAGCTAGAAGTTCCTATAAATCTTCTAGTCCCTGGATAGTCATCTCAATCTCTATATCAGTATTATTAATACTGTACTCTCAGTACTTATCTATTATTATTAATACCTATTTTAATAATTTCATAAGCTAATCTTTCTATAATGGCTTGGTTGCTGTTATTACTTATGCAACTATACTTGAGGTGCTATTTTCCTCTAAGTTATCTTTAATATCTGGCGCGTTAGGCTTTCATGGCGATCTTAATCTTCTTTTAATAGGTTGTTTAGTCCTTGCTTCAGCTTCTTGCTAAGTAGCGGGCTGTACGGATCTAGACCCCATACCTGGTCCTTACTGGTATCATCTTGGATAATCATAATTCATGAATTAGAGACTCTCAGTCTTCCAATCAATCTATAGATTATGATTTCTAAGTCATGAAATCCCTAACATAATATTATATTATCTTAAAGATATTATATTAAAGTCTATACACTTATAGTGATCCTTTACAGTTATAGATATAGTTCCTGACTCAACTATTAACGTGAGAGTTCCCAAATTCTCTCTATTCAGTCCTGTAATCAGTTCAGGTTTTGCTTTTTATTATCTAAGTATTCTAAGCTATTATATAAATCGCGGGTTTATAAAGTTTTCAGTCACTCTAAAATTTACCAGTACTTAGGCTGGTTGATCTAATACAACTGCTTGGATCTTTAGATGTGGCCCTGACTCTATAACTATTAATTATTATTCTGGCTAGTTAAGTTTTAACTGCTGTGAATATCTTCTTAAAAATTTTAAACCTTCTATCTTTACCGCGTAGTATATTATATACTAATTATTAAAACATGCTAGTTAATATATTAATCTGTGATAAGAATATCTTTAGTATTTTTTACACACGCAACTGAAGATAGAGTATAAACAGTAACTTATCTTAGTCTTAATTATTTCTAGTATCTTAGATCAATATTTGATAATATATTTCTAATTATAGTATATTAAGCATATATTCGTGTAATATATAAGCTAAAAGAGTTTATTATATCTTTAATAATCTCTGCTTTCTTTAAAATAAATATATAGACATGATTTATCATACCAAGACTCTGTTTCAGCAATATTTACTTTCTAGTTAATCTTTAATAATTAATAATAATAGTCTGTGTTGTCTTATCTACATGTCAAGTAAACTTCTGGATAATAAGGATATCTTTATAAATATTACTTCCAAGTCTTATTTCATGATTTTCAATATTTTAAATCCTAATATGGGCAATGCTGCATGATTATCTTGAGCTCTAGGCAGAATCATGTTAGATTCTTCAAGATCTTTTTCAAGATATGGTTTAATTAATAAGTAATATTCTCTTAATCATTCTTCTAGTTCTTCTAATCCTTATCTTGCTATGATAGACAGAGTTTACTAGTTTCTGATAGAGGTTTTTCAGGGGTATCAAGTATCTTGCTAAGTCTCTCTTTACTGGGTTCAAGACCTTTAAACAGTGTATTATACTCTTTATTCAACAGTTTATCTTCATCTTAAACTATACTAGGATAGTCGTTTCTTGAAACTAGTTTATAATTATTATTATTAACTTTTATAGTCCAAATTAATAATACAGATAATCATTAATCTTCTTATTAATTAAATAGTATTATTAACTTATCTATAATAGCTTGTTACCTTAACCAATCACAGTACATCCTGTTCTCTGATAGCTAATCATACTGAATAGTATGTAACTTCTTATTATCTAATATCCGCGTTGCAGTATCTGTTTAAACTTCATGCTGAATAGTAGTAATATTATAGACTTCTCTGCCTTAATCTTGATTCATAGCTCTCAACTGCTTTTGAGGCTGTTGCTGTTTCTGACTATAGTTCTTTAACTGGTAACCTGCTTTGCCACAGCTGAAGTATAAGTAGTCTTGTTTATACTGTTCAAGTTCCTTCTTAAACACTTAAATCTGTTGAGTCTAATACTATACTGTATCTAGCTCCATTAGTTTTAGTCTGTAGAAATCTTCGTATCCCAAGCTCCTAGGTTGTACCGACCTTTCGTTGTTGGCTTAATAACCTGGCTAGTTATTATGTTGAGGTGTAGACCCATTAGTCTATCAACCCTCTCATTATTTTATATTAAAGTCATACAACTTATTATCGATCTTGACTGCTGCTTCGATTATCTTAGTCAATGTGTCCAGTCATTCTTACCAAATAATCTTTTTTTAGATCTCTATCTTGAGTCTTTCTTTAAATTGTGAGATGTAGGCATCGTTATCCTAATCCAAGTAACTAATAATTTACTAAAACTCTGAAGTATACATAGATACCAATCCAGTCTGCTTAAGTCATTATAACTTTTACTCAGTATTTTATACCGCATCAATATCTCTGAATATCTGTTCAAGACACTGTTTAAATCTGATATAACTGGTAAAAAGTTGCTTTATATTATTATTCTGGTTACTTACCAACTTTTCTTATCGCTCGCGGATATACAGTTTAAACTAATTAAATACTATTCTTGTCAGGTAAGTAAACGTGAAAAAGATCTTGTTCTCCTTATTCTTGAGCTTTTCCTTGTTCATGCTAAGGTACAGATCCAACTGGGTCAAGAAAGCTCTGAGCCTCGCTCGTTTGCCGTCAAATGGCTCAGATGGTCGGACATTAACAGATTTGACTGCTAAGCAACCTTTAAATAACTGGTTCTATTATTCTAAGACAGTGATACTTTCTTGTAGCTGACTAACCATGTCTATTAGTTCCTTGGTCATCGGGCCCTGCTGTGGCGCACGCGATGTGTTTAATATAGTTAACATAATGATTAGTTGTCACTGGGTAACACTCGTACTGACTGGTGCTTAATATGTCAAATCCTAGGATCACTTCTCCCTGTTCCTGTTAGCTTAGCTCCTGTTCCGATACGTATCTTTGAACTGAATCAAGGTAATCAGGTTATTAACTATCTAAAGATGACTTGATCTGAACAGAAAAAGAGAAGTAAGGCCAGATAGTGCCGTGCAGCTATCCATAAATAAGTGTGGACGAGTGTTGTTGCTAAGCTTTACCAAAACATATGGTTACTTAAAGATAGTTAAATTGAGCATGAAGAACAGAACTAGCTAAATATATAAAAGAGTGTCCTTATATCCTATCCTTTATTATGGCATCACCATGATATATCATGTTACCAATATATTATGTTATAGCATCACTATATCCTGTCATAGCACTGCCATATTATATTATGTCAGTAACATGTCCGTCGTGGTCACGTGTTGTATAACCGTCCTGGTTTGTAGATTACTCAGATCGGGATTCTACTTGATAAGAGTCCTCGCCTTCCGGACGTAGCCTTCTGCCTAACGAGTCCGCCTTACTAGTTCGTTCAGCTAGCAGGGGTCCGTAACATGTTTCTAGTCAAGAATGTACTTAATAGCAGTCACAGCTTCCCAACGCGATGATTATACTAAGAAAACAGGTGCATCTATCAGGGCCAGGGGATCAATAGCTATATTCTACCCTGTGATGAGATGGAGCAGGACTGTCTTAATTTCATGCACACTTTAGTTATGAAAAAGCTGTAGCTATCCAGATTAGGTCACATCCTTTATGCCCACAATAGCCGCTTTCTTGATCTGGGTTGTGGAACAGGAATCTGGATAATTAAAATAACAGAAGTATATTTAAATACTTATATACTAGAGGTTGATATATTAGTAATACAGCCAGACTTTTATCCGCAGAACTGTGTCTTCAAAGTTTCTTTTAATTATAAACATTTCTAGCTAATAGATAGCGGGTAGTAAGATATTATCTATATATAAATAAAATATAGTAGTATTACTAATTAGCTAAGACTCTATATTAGAGTTTTTGACCATCTTCTCTGCGATGTCTGGTTTGAGTAAGTAAAGATAAACTTTAAGCCGCGCTGCTATAACCAATTACTGAAAAACGGCCCTTTATCTTACTAGTATCAAAGTCTGAAAAGTATAATACAGTTTTTAAAGAGAAAGATTACTTATTTTCTAATATAAACATTATAATAGCTTCAGGAAGCCGGGTTTAGTAATATTAAATATAAAGAAATCATGCTATCTATAAATCTAAAGAAACTATTAAATCATGATAAGATAGCTACCCAATAATACAGGATAGTATTCATCAACAGTATTCAGTCACTTTATATAGTACTTTTTATTTATATGTATGGTTAAATATATAAGAATATTAAATTAATTATAAATATAATATAAGCAGAGATTTTTAAAACAGATTTAGAGTTTTACTATATCTTATATATATATAAGATACAGAGACCTTAGGCAGATAAGATATTTTCAGTAAAACTACTCTATATTAAGATACCTATATATCCATTCCTCTCAATACTGAGTAATCGTGTTATGGATTCGATTCTTCGCAATGTCTTTATTTTCCAGCGACCTTGAGGATAAAGCCAGCATCTTCATCGCCTGTGTCGACAACATCCCCTTCACTTCTGCTCCAGTTGCTGGATTCACCGGAACTGTCCTGAATGTGAACTTTACCAGACACGAGATGATAATATATGTTGCGAGTTTCGAGCAACTTCCAGCATTTCTACTCTGCTGATAGAATTCATAGAATAGGCATTCTCGATCAGATAACCAAGCCTACTTTGTCTAGTATATAGTATAATGATATGTAAGAGTATTTGCCTAGTACCTTATAGGACTTTCTATTCACATTGAAATTATTGCTCTAGATATATAGTAAGTAATACAGGCCCAGAAGAACCCCGGGCCCGCAAATAGACCGTAGAAGCCATAAGTATGTAGTACTGATTCGTTAGTCTAGCATACTAAGTCTAGAAAAATAAGTTAAGAGATTCAGAGAAGACCTGTTGGCTGGACCCTGATTTAATAATTAAAACTATCTGGAAAAAAAAAAGTAAATATAATTAGTAAGATATAAAAGATGATATTCAGACAGTGTGAGATAGAGTATAGTATATAAAATCTTAGTAATTTTATTAATTACATTATAAACCACAAGGCTGTTGTTATTTAACTCAATAGTTAAGACAGTATTATAGAGATTTATTATTATCCTGACTAGATATAATCATGTTTTATCAGTACTAGTAGTTTATAATAATTATTAATTATTAGCGTCTTGATTATCAGTAATTATTTAATAGTAATCTTATTATTTGAATGGGCTTGATAAATGGGAATCTAAAGTTACTCAGTATAGGCTTTTTCTGAGAATCTTTAAAGATAATTAGAAATATTAGAGAGTATATATGAGCTCTCTGTACTAGCTTATAAATATATAATATAAAGATACTAGCAATTAATATTCTATTAATATAAAAAAGATTAACTTATATCCAGTTATCTCAGAGATAGTGAGCTGTTAATACTAATATTATATTACTTTATTAATTATTCTTCTTATTATAATAATATACATCTACCTTGCGCACAATCTCTGTTGTCTAAAATAACCAGAATATGATCTTAATATAGAGAAGATAACATGTTTCCCAGTTCAGTATCAAGGCTGCTTTGTATTTGGCTTTTGCATACGAGGCAGTCGTGTTGCAGAAATCAAGGAAACCGGCGCTAGAGCTGCACGACGAACGGTTCGTGAAGAAAGTGCCCGTCGGTTGCGGAAACGAGGGGGTCGACGGGGTGTCGCGACAGCGGCCGTCCATTGCGTCGAGGTTCCACATCACTGATCCTTAAGCTTCGCCGAGAGGGTGCTCTGCCGCCCCAACGAGCCCACCGATGGGACTTTATACGATATGTGCATGACACGGGTATTGTACAAAGTCGACGCCTATTGTCTGGTAATAACGGGGGGGGGAGGAATTTCCGAGCAATTGCGGAGGAATCATGAGCGCGGCAACGGTACCAGTCCGGCTATCAGCATATTCAGTTCGTAGTGTAATGCACCTGTCCGAAAGTAGAGAGAAAGAAACATTTATAATATTATTAAACACACCGGTATATTAATAAAAGGATTATGTTTATTTCTTCTATAATTTATCTGATTATACAAAAGCAGCATAGTAGCAAGTGGTTAGTAAATAGATCAGAAACGGTAGCCAGGAGCCGGATAGCTTAGTGATAATAAATACCTTATCTGAGATCAATCTTTCTTTATATAACCACTTACCAGGCGCTACAGACATACAATATTCAGAGATACTGTAGCAGCAGATTACTATATTGAGTACCATTAGTCAGGATAAAATCTGGGCACGTACAGTCAGCTCTCGAAGGTGCAGATCAACCGATTGAACAGGAGACAGTATATAACAGCGGTTAGTTTCTTGCTGTATTAGATTACTCGGGACCAGCTATCTGTACCCCTGCTCTAGGACTCCAGCACGTTTCTAAAATCATGCGCGCAGAGGCTTCTGTATATGTCACTAGCTTATCTAAGAATGAATTAACCAGCTAGGGACAGAATAGTTCTTTTCTATAGTATATAACTATATTATACTTTACTGAATTTATTAAAGAAAGTAAAGTCTAACTTGTTCAATCAAACAGTTAGTATCAAACTCTATATTGTTAATAATATTATAAAATTATTAATTAAGACTGATTTCTTGAATTACTATAGAAATATAATAGAAAAAAAAGATAAATAAGAATGTAAGAATCTTACAATATCTTGTTACAGACCCCTGCTAGTCGGGTTACTAGCGAAGCGGACTCGTCAGGCAGAAAGCGTCGACAAGGCAAGTCTCGGACGACCAGCAACTCTTATCGAGTGGAATCCCGGTCTGAGTAACGCCCGGAGTAACTTTGCGTCACGTGATCATCTACCATCAAATCTACTATTGAAGGTATATGCAAGGTATACTGAGATCCTGGATCATGATTAGATTAACCATTGATCTACCTTGGATGGTATATGATATGGTATACGAAGGATAGGATATATAAGGACACTCTTTCATATACTTAGCTAGTTCTGTTCTTCATGCTGAATCAATCCTTTAACACTGTCTTTAAGTAACCATACGCTTGGAAGCTTAGCGACAATACTCGTCCGCACTTACTTACGGATAGCTGCACGGCACTATTCGGCCTTACTTCTCTTCTCTTGTCTAAGACCAGTTATTCCTATATAGTCATCAGCCTGATACATCCTCGATTCAGTTCGAAGGTACGTATACCAGTGAAACTAAGCTAACAGGGGCAGGGAAGCGATCCTAGGGTTTGACATATCTGCAGTAAGAATAAAGATAATCTTTTCATAAAAAGATTAAAGCGTGGAGGAATATTTAAAAAGAATATAGAAATTACTATGAATATTATACAGTAATTATAGATTTTACTATATTAAAAAATATAAATTTTTAAAGTACTAGTATCTCATTTCTGATCTTTATTTTAAAGACTAGACTTACTATATCTATAATATTTAATACTACCAGTCAAAAATGATATTAAATTATTAAAATCAGTAACCCCTGTAAAGATTATTTTAATAAAATAATTAATAAAGTTATTTATTATAGCTTATATAATCCTGTTTACTAACTCTATATTTTTAGATAATAATATTCTAACTACTTACTTTGATAATATAATAATAAAGAATGTTTTTAACTAATTATTATACTAGATTTATAATATTAAAAGCTTTTAGTATTTTATCTAAAATTACTACTTACTAGCTAATTTTTATAAGCTTAAATTTTACAAGTACTATATATACAGTATCTGAAAGAAGATTTTAATAAAGATAATTATTATAGAATATATTATTATTTTTCTAAAAGTAAAATACTTAATATTTTATAATTCTATATTATAAACTATTAATCTTATAGAATTCTAATATATAAATATATATAAGGTATTCCCGGTTAACTACAAAAAATATAATTATTATTTAATTATAATTAATAATATTCTTTAATTAATCTGTATTATTATCTTCTTATTCTAAATATCTGAAGTCAACAGTTTTTTAAAAAGATATAAAGGTTTAATTAATTAAATAATTAAAATCATGATAATTATCTCAGATCTTTCTAGTAATCTGTAGCATTTTATTATTATATTAATTATATAGATTATGAATTATTTAATACTTACTAATAATAATATTAAGAAAGCTTTAATTTATAAATATAGATTATTTTATAAATTATCTAATCTGGAAGACTTGCTAGACTTTCTATATATATTTAACTATTATTTTCAATTTTATATTTTCAAAAAGAATAAAATAATTTTAATAAAAATAGAATCCTGCGCTGCAGTCAGCTATCTAGTTAAATTTAATAGAGATAATAATTATATTTACTATATTTAAATACTGGAGATAAATAAAATTAAATATTTTTATAATATTATCTTCTATAAAAATAATCAAAATAATCAAAATAATCAAAATAATCAAAATAATCAAAATAATCAAAATAATCAAAATAATCAAAATAATCAAAATAATCAAAATAATGAGAATAATTCTAAAACAATTATTTTAAATACTATCTCAGAGAGTCTAGAGTTAGAAAGAGTAATTAAGTTAGATAATACTTTTCTTTATCAGAGTACTTTTAATATAATAAGAATTAAGATTATTAATATTATTATTAATAAAATACAGACTCTGTTATCTTTTACAGAATTTATTGATAAATAATTCTTACAGTCTATTAATAATCTTACTAAATATAAGACTAGCTCAGTTAAATACTTTACTTAAGATTACTAGATCTCTGATATTCTTATTCTAAAAGTTATCTCTTTAGTAAGATACTTCTAACAAATTATTGAAGATAAGATACTTATTTAGTTAGATAATAAATAAATAACTTCAATAAATTAAAGTACTACTATTTTAAGACTCAAATACTATAAGATTACAATCCTATTAATATAAATTTAAGTTTTAAAGTCCACTCTGATACTACACTAAAAATAAATTATAAATGATTAAATTAGAAAGATTAAGATTATAAAAATATATAATATTATAAAAAAATCTTTAGATACTTGTATAAATCCAGAACAGTAGATCTTTAATCTAAAGATTAATATTAAAAATTATATTACATAATTTTATATTAAATAAGTAGTCTATAAGAACTGCCAAATATTTAATAAAGATTATAATAAATTCTTTATTTTAATTATCAGTAAACTTAGTATTAAAGTTTTTCCTATAATCATGGCTTTGAAAGACTTAATTTAATAATAATATAACATTATTTTTATATACTTAAATATTAAATTTAAAAATAGAAAGATCTATATAAAATAATTCATGAAATATTATAAAGATAATAATGATAATATCTATAAATTAAATCAGATTTTATATAATATTAAATAAGCAGTCTTCCTATAATATAATATTTTTAATAAAAAGGTTTAAGAAATCAGATTTATCATACTATAGAAAAACCCCTGTATCTACTAAAAGATAATTTCTTTCTTATTATTTATATTAATAACTCTATTATTACTAATCTAATTCAGTAAGATTTTAATAATATTAAAGTCTATCTTAATAAAATATTCAGTTTTAAAGAATCAGACAAGCTAAAAATCTTCTTTAACTGTTATATAAAATAAGATTATAATAAAAGAATAATATTACTATCTTAATTTATATATATAAAAGAATTCTTGATTATTACAGGCTTGTAGAACTTATCAGCTATTATTTATTTAATAAGAATATCTTATATTAAGACTAATTACTAGAAGATAATAATCAAGAAGACTGATATTAAGAAATACTAGTGTGACGGGCTCAAGAGCCCAAGAACTACTCAAGGTATGTGAAGGTAAGTAGATGTTAGATTCTCTAAAAATCTATCTAACTACAGGTTAAACAATCCTTCTTATAGCTAATCTCTTTTAAAGACTTTCTATACAACATTAAAAGTCTCTATATCTTTTAACTAGTTCTTCTATAGCTTTAAAGAGCTTCTCAAATTTCTTCTTTTTTATTCGATAGTTTCTATACCTCTTTAAATATTATTAATTTAAAATTATAAAACTAAACAGACTAGAATATAGAATATTCCGGTTCTAGATAACTGATAGAATCTAACCTTCTTAACTACTCCCTACCTGACCTTGATGTAACAGGACTAATATAGATATTAATAAAAAAAAAGTAGATAAATTTATACTAAATATCATAAACTTTTATTTTATAAAATTCTATAACTAGTTTCCAGATAAATATGATATAATTTTTTTATTTAACTAAAAATATCTTTTATAACTGTACTTTTCTTAAAATATATTTTTCTTATCTGAAATCTTCTTAACTTTCTATTTTATAATCTTATTTCTAATGACTATAATATTAAATTACCAGTCAGTAATCTCTTATATTAATAAAAAATTCATAACAGTAAGCTAAAGTAGATTAGTATAAAATATAAAGTAGATTTCAGTTAGTATATTTATAAATTAAATATACATTCTGATCTGCTTAAACACTGTAAATTTTATATTATATTAATTTAACTTCTTACTGAAACCGTTAATAGTAATATTCTTTAAATTCAATTCAATCTTATTACTGACTTTATAACAGAACACTAGATTTTATTATTAATTAGTATACTGTTTCTATACTTCTTAAATAACTATTATCATTAAATTAATAATATTACAGATTTTTTAAAGCTTATTAAAGATAACTTTAGCTTGATAGCTTCTTAAA